TGTTGGTCAAGTCTGGTCTTGAAAGAGCTCACACTCGGTGCCGTTACAACACTCCAAGCCTGATCGCCCCTAGTAGGGCACAGCGAAACCAGACATCCTCCACGAGCGCTCTGGACTGCCAGAGGCAGCAGAACGCCCCATGGGTAGTGTGAGTGACCCACTGTACTGCGCACATTATTGTCATCCTTAATGTATCTTTAATTCATATTACGCTACATAACATTCTAATCCACTGCGCTTGTAGTCACAGAAAACGTTAGAAATAACGTTTATAAGGGATAACTCGCCTGCTGTATGTTGTTTTATACGAATTGTACCAATGTACGGTCATATAATATTAAGTTTATGTACTTACAGTATTAAGGAGAACGCAAAGTGTCTATACGATGATTGGGAAGGTCCAATTGATACGGACTAGTGTACTACAAGGGATAAGCGTAGACCGTATCTGAAGGTCATGCTATTTATGTCTGTGAACGACTTTTTCATATTTACGGGGATTAGCCCATCCGGGTATAGGTCACTGACCCACATCAGGGCCTGGGGGGCGAAAATATGATGAAGAAAAAATAATACAAAAATAATTAAATATATATAATAGTTACTATTACAGGTTACTGTTTAGTAACCTGTCAAATGGATTCGTCAAACTCGAATATCAATCTCAAATATCGGGTTACTATTTAGTAACACGAACGCCGCAACTCGAGAGGGTTGGTACACCTTATCCAAGATAAATGTAAACAAACCAGCTCGATCTGCGCTCCAAAATTGAAGCAGAAACAGGAGTTGTGGAGATAAAAGTTCGTCTTCAAGGGAAAAGGCAGCCACCACTACCAATTATGCCAGCGTCTGCACCAGCAGGAATACTTGGATCAACTGATTCAACATCAGGATCACCTGTGCCACCACCAGCAACAGCAGCATCAACATCCAGTCACGGGGGGAAGAGACGGAAGCAGGTGAACAAGAGGAATGAATGCTTCAATACCATTATTAAGGACAGTACACAAGAACTGAATGGTGCTATATTGAAGGCTTTAAAGGCCTTCACTATTATGTACAATACATTGACTCTTGACTTCAGCAGAGAACTGAGCGCCATATTCAAGTAATTAGTGTCACGCCATCCATAGTAGCTGGTGCCCTCAGCATAGTATACATCAAGGCTGCTGTGGCCATTAGGTGTACTGATACAGATATGCGTATGTATGCCCTAAGAACTGATAATTTACCGGAGATATTACCCACATATTTTTAGCACTACAAATATAGCATCATACGTCACAGACTGTACCTGTACTTACTTTAGAGACTAGGCAGGAGGCCATGGGGTAGACTGCCAGTTTCGACTCGCATTAATAATTATGAATATACCACATTACTAAATTCCACATGCCATACCTATCACCGTGTACACGACCGAGTTGGTGGCGAAAACAGTAAGGGCTCGTTTACACAATCAATTACCATGTATGGTGGTCGAGCACACTTCGGATCAGTGGCGAAGCATGGGCCGCCATGGGGTCGGAGCAGGGTACTGACCACTGTTTAGTGGACACGGAACTGCCACACCGTAGTTACCGGTCAGTGTGTGGTAGACTGCTGGGCAAGAGGTTCATGGCTCCTAGACAGACGAGTCGGCGATGGACGGCCGCACTTTTGTGTGTTCTGGCCGCTGGGATGATACTGAAGAAAAAACAAGAAAACGGACCGTGTGGGTGAAAAACTGATAAAGGAACAAATCGTGTGGTGCTTATAACCAAATCTTTGCTGCAATGCAGCGTGAGGACACACAGGACGTACAACAATACATTCGCATGACCCCTGAAATGTACAACACACTCTTGGATAAGGTACGTCCACATATTTCCAGGATGGATACAAATATGAGGGACTCTATACGTGCAGGAGCACGACTGGAGGTGACCCTCAGGTATTTGGCAACCAGAGCAAGCTACGGAAGCCTGCAGTTCACGTCGCGAATCTCCAAGAGTTCTCACAAATATTATTCCCGAAACCTGGTATGCCATTTACTAAATGCTAAGGAATGATGGAAAAAACAGGGAAACGGATACTCACCACGTTCAGAGGATCCATGGATGACATCGTGGCCTCCCTCTGCGTTTTTCCATCATGCAGGAAACCGAGCTGGTTAAAGCACCATAACTTGGGTACATATACGTCGTCTGCACTAGCCCCAGACTTCTTCGATGCGGCTATCATTTTCAGCTCCTTTCTGTACTGACTGCATAATGTGTTTATCTTTTTCTTGACAATATCAACTGTGCACGTACGATTTACATTTTCACTTAATTATAGTCCCCATAGGCTTTACATTTTTCGTTTATATTTATGTATCCATCACTTCTAACCTGTCATAGACATGGCCGGTCCCTATACAGTTCAATAAGTTGTAACGTTAACGTCTTTTTCCACTCAAATGGTGGCCTTGACTCCTGATATAAGAGCGTGGACTCTTATCTACATTACTTTAACTTTAGTACTTCAACCTCTGACCTGTGGTAGCGTGACTCGAGGGTTAGGCCCATGGGTACATGTAATTATGGTATCAAGTAATAGGAAAGAATAACTGTGAACAACTGCAGGTGAATAATAGACCCAACATACAAATACAATGGTTTATTATAAACACAAAATGGTTATTAAATGACGTTAGGCTTCAAGAACAAACAGGAACTCACTTTGTACTGTGGCCTTTAGGTACAATTTCCACTTACACCACAACTGTACATACCCAATAACACACATAAACTCTCTCGCAGCACCTTAGCACCATTAAAATCCGTGGCAATGACGCCAGTTACCACACTTGACTGCTCAAGCAGCACCAGACACAATACTCAACAGCACCAGGAGTAATACTCAAGCGGCACCCGCCATGGTAGTGTTCCCACCACGTGGCACCTTCCAACGAACTCCGATAATTCCGGTGAAATAACAAACACCAAATAGCCCTACTGAGTCATGGACTCATCCACCAATGATGGGGGCTGGCAGTTGTTTGTTGGGCCTGATGTTCCTGTGCCACCAAGTGGGCGGGAACGCGTCCGGTGAAGGCTGGCCAGCTATGGGGCCCATAGGTGGTAGTGGGATCTTGACGCTCGGAATTCACGGAGTTACCCGAGTCTAATGGTCTTCATCCATCTCCCAAACTAGTGGAGGCGTCCCCAAGCTACAGACACGGCTTAGACTCCTACGGGAACCTGTGGGTTGATGATCGTGGGCTTACTAACGGTTTTCAAATGCCCGGCGCCCTCTTCCACCCACTCTAAGTCACACATTCCACTTACTCAACTATTTCACTACATTACGTTACTGTATACTTTCACGTTTGAAACTGAGACTACGAACTCAGTTTCATTCCCTAATATTCTCTCTACAAACATATGCTCTGACGGAGCTATTGAAGGCAAGAAATAATTGATTTCAAAAGGTCCTGGATGGGAATCCCGGTAGGCGGAGCCTAAGCAAGTAGCGTCCGACTACATTCACAAAGAAGCTGGTCTAACGGTTCTTTTCAGGTAAATTAACTAATTCCTTAGTTAACATCCTTACAACAATTTCACTATGAGTATCAGGGTCTCTGATATTCATTGGTGAATAAGAGCTACAAGATCTCGGTAGGTGGAAAAGAGTTTACAAATCGGTCAACCCAAAATACAGCATCTGTATGACGTCGTCAAAGATAAAGAGAAACGGAGGACGTTTCCAATGGGAGACTCAGGTTTTTTGGGCGTGTAGCCTGATATGAATTATTAGGTTTTAACAGGCTAGCCGTCATTACGATCATGACACTGAGGGTCACTGGTGGCAGGTGTAGGCGACGGAACAACATCCATCCTTGCTTTTAACTTTCGCGTGTGTGGTGTGCCACGTAGGTGGCAACGCAACTATTAGGCTCCGACACGTAACTGCCCGGGAAGGGTTGGTGGTTCAGTGTTGCCGTCTACACGATCACTGTCCGAGCAAGGCTTCGTTACCATGCTTCGAAAACATGCTCCGAGACTGATCGTGTAAACGAGCCCTTAGCAGAGGGCGTGGGCATGATGACCTGCCACATACCTCATGTTACCAATCGAGCCAAGTTCAGGCAAAATACGACCCGGTGAAACCCTTAAGCCATAGATTTTTGGAGAAAAATATTATCTGAAAGAGTATGTTGTCTTATAATACCTCTCCAGCAGGATGAGGGTCCCGCCAGTCAGTCAAGACACAATATTGATAATGTACAGCGTCTATAATTAATCACTGAATAGATCATGGTTGATAAGCCCCACCCAGGTAGTGTACCAAGACCATGCTTCTATCTCGACTGGTTCCCGGGTTAGTGCTAAATATTCTACGGCAGCCATCTTGGACGCCATTTTGAGTTTACAGTTCAGCGCAAGGAGGATTTTTGTGGAGTTTTAGTGTATTGTCATAGAGCCTATTAGAACCTATCCTGAAAAATTCAGTTTATTTTACAAAATTCCATATTTTTGCACAAGATATGCCTAAAATTCTTGGTGTATAAAGCATTATGAGTAGTTTGTTTTTCAAGGCTGAAAAGTTTATATGGTGGACTCAGGCTAATAATAATAATAATAATAATAATAATAATAATAATAATATAGTAATTAAAAATATGTATATTTGTACTCGTACAAGCCTTTCCCACTAAACTGCAGTACTGGCAGGAACAAGAACCAACATAATTCCCCCATGTTCATTTCTTGTCACTCATCACCATATCGTCTCCTCATGATAGACTGTCAGGTTTATCTCTGTCACTTCCTTCCCACAATCCAGCCTTACGACCACCCTTTAAACCCCTCGATGCCATTCTGTCCACTCATTCACACACACCGCTGCTGTCTACTGGTCCATTCCCTCACTCACTCTCGTCTTTCCTAATTTATCTTTTTTTCGATTCCAGGATGACCACCATCAGCATCCCTCAGGCTTTCCTCTGGTATTAACTCTGTTTACTTGTCCAGGATGGCCGCCACCAGTGTTGACGTGGTGGCGGGGAGACAAAATCCTCAAAAGCTCTCGAGAGGTGACAGCCCCTGGACGTGTGCAGAACGACCTGGTGATAGAGAACATCTCGCGCAGCTGGAACAACAACACCCTCACCTGCACCGCTAGCAACACGCGTCTGGCAGCACCCGCTAAATCCTCCGTCCTCGTACAAATGTTCTGTGAGTTAATGACACACACACACACACACACACAATACTACTACTTTGCTATCACTTGGAATCGAGTATTACGATCATCCATCTATGATACAATGATATGAGTTATTAAAGATGCCATCTTCGTTGGAGAACTGTGAGGTGACTTGAGAGGCCAATATGGGACTGGCACTTCTCTGCCTCGGTATGCAGTCGGGCTAACTCGAAAGTATTCACACATTTTCGTGTGATGCCCCTCCAAGCGTTGCGGTGTGGAGTGATCGTCTCCCTGGTGAGGGGTCGATTTGGCACTTTTTCAGGTTTGTATTAACACTAACCTTATTCCTTTTCCGTTGCCCGCCAGCGTTACGTTTACCATTCGTTAAGTGACTGTAAAGTAGCTGCATTGGCAGTCTACTGTCGTCCATGCGGGTAACATAGCCAGTCAAACGTAATTATTCATGGATAATGGTAGCTTTGATGATCTTACAGTTGATGATCAGCGAGAATACTGGCATTTGTTTTCCCAGCGTTGATGAAAGTTTTCAAGTGCCTTGAAGTGCCTCCTATATGTGACCTATATCTTGCTGCCATATAACAGGGTGAGAAGGACCACTGATCGATATTAGTGCAGCTTTGTAGATAATTTCGGCTTCCTTCAGCTGAAGACACTGGTTCGGAGTCTGCTTGAGATGCACATCCGATCCGATGTTGAATCTCTTCATCGACGTCCTCTGTGGTGGACAGGTGGGAGCCGAGATACTGAAAGTGGGTAGCATTAAAGAGGGTAGTAACGTTAACCTGGATGGATGGTGGATGTGTGGCTGAACCAGGGGCTGGCTGAAAGAGAATCTGAGCCTTGCGTACATTCACCTCAAGGCCGAAGTTTGCATACGCATCTGCGTAGGTGTTCAGGATCTCCTGTAGGTTGCGTTCAGTGTGAGCAACGAGGGTGAGGCTACTTGTGTACAGAGGTTCAGTAATGGAAGCTGCCGACACCTTTGTTCCTGTTTGGTGTCGTCTTATGTTGAAAAATCCCTTCTTCCTGTACTGGATGTTCACACCACTGGCTAAGTTGGCACTGGCACGAGTAAGGAAGGCAGCCAAGAAAATGGAAAAGAGAGTTAGTGCCATTACATATCCTTGTTTTACTCCTGTTTGGATGGGGAAGAACTCAGACTGGGTATCATTGTGCAGGACACTGCCGTTCATGCTATCGTGGAGTTGCCTCACAATTGCAATTAATTTTAGTGGGCAACCATAGGGCTTCCCTGTTGACTGAGTCAAAGTCATTAGTAAAGTTGATGAAGGGCATGTACAAGTCACGCTGCTGTTATCTGCAATTTTCCTGTATCTGGCGGGCAGCAAAGATCATGTCAGTGGTGCCACGTGTTGGCTTTAAGCCACATTGAGATTCTGGGAGGAAGTTTTCCGCCTCAGGAAAGTTTGTTTAGGAGGACTCGGCCGGTAACTTTGCCAACAATGGAGAGAAGTGAGATCCCGCAGTAGTTGTCACAGTCTGACCGGTCTCCCTTGTTCTTATAAATGTTGAGGATGAAAGCATCTTTAACATCTTTGGGGATTTCTTCCTTCTCCCATTTAACCTCCAGGAGATAGTGGTTACGGTTGGTAAGCAGAGGTCCTCCTACTTTATACACCTCGACTGGGATTTCATCAGGCCTTGTGGCTTTGTTATTTTTCATCTGCTTGATGGCAGAAGTTACCTCATCACTGGATGGAGGATAGCTGAGGTAGGTCAGCTCTAGGTGGTAAAAGGTAGTTCTGGGTAGTCAGGATATCCACATCTGTGTTTCGGTTGAACAGGAAATAGCTATGATGCTCTATTCCAGTGCTGAAAAATGTCTTCTTCGTCTTTAATTAGGGAGCTACCGTAGGATGAGCAGAGGGGGGCTGCGTCATGAATAGCATGAATAGTTGAGATATACATTGTTTTAGGGGAATTGAAAAATTCACGCATTGTGTGTACGTGTGTGTTACTTGTAAGACCTGTGTAAGGAGTTGGACTTGTCAGTATACAGTCCCACTTAAAAGTAATTTACTTGTGGTTATTTAGAGTCCCGTTGATATCAGTAGGATGCCTGAGACTGTCGATAATCGTAGTCCAATTGGATGTCCACGTCTTCTACAAAAGGGGGGTTAATCAGACACAAAACTGGTGTGTATGTACAGTGTGATATTTATGAGTCTAAATACTGTGCAGTTAATTACAGTAGACTGGCCCCGTGATCTACAGGGTGTCCATAAATGATTCTATCAATAGCAAGTCTACGGACTTGGCGCACCCTCATTCATTCATTCATTCAACTGATTAAAACATGAGAACATACTGTTTTAGGGTAATCATTTATGGACTCTCTGTATTACAGAAAAGTTCTCGTGAGTTGCGCTAGTACTAAGGCAGGCTCTAGTGTTAGGCGAGCTCATAATGAGGTGGTCCAGGTGTAGATCTCTACTCTAAGGGGTCCAGCTCAAGACTACTAATGGGCTTGGCTAAGCCACGCCCGTGGAGAGTAATTCCTGCACTCTCCACCAGAGCGATCTATGATTCAAGCTTCAAGAAGGTTCTCGAAGGAGGAAGTAGTCACCTCCGTGGAATGTCAAGCAGAACAACAGTCAGCGGTGTTTACATTACGTGTATAAACAACCGGCTGGTAAATGATCCCTTTGACCCATGAATCACTCTTAACTGGCGGTGCCATTATCTATATATTACTTAACTAACTATCTAACATATTTGACGCATTGCAAGTGTGAAGCAAGGTATCCAATTACCACATATGAGCAATCTATTCAGTGTTTAAAGAAATACCAACTACTGAGAGAGAGAGAGTGACATCATACTGTGACACTCGGACTAGACAAAACATCCGCAGGATGTTTATTCCCGCTATAACCTATGAACGTCTGCCTTCTACAAGTCATTGAATAATGAATGTTCATAATTATACATCCATGGTTGCAAGTTTTTAATTACTTACCCCAAATTATACAAAAAATTATACTGGTTACATGTGTGTGTGTGTGTGTGTGTGTGTGTGTGTGTGTGTGTGTGTGTGTGTGTGTGTGTGTTACATTATAATAGGTACAATCAACAAACAGCAGAAGGTCAACCCAAAACAAGCTGCATGATATAAGAACATAAGAACATAAGAAAATAAGGAGTCTGCAATAGGCCGGTTGGCCTGTGCATGGCAGCTCCTTGTCGAGAGTTACTACCACTCTCCATCATCCATGAATCTATCTAGCCTCCTTTTGAAACTTTCCAGAGTTCCCGCACTTACTACAAAGTTGCTATGCTTGTTCCACTCGTCCACCACCCTATTTGTGAACCAGTTCCTTCCTATCTCCCTCCTAAACCTAAACTTATCCAACTTGAATCCGTTGCTCCGAGTCCTATCCTGCTCGGATAATATAAGAACTTTATCTATATCCCTTTTATTGATTCCTTTCACCCACTTAAATACTTCTATCATATCTCCCCGCACTCTTCGTCTTTCTAGGGAATGCAAGTTAAGTTTCTTTAACCTATCCTGATATGGAAGGTTTCTAAGTCCCGGAATCATTTTTGTCATTCTTCGCTGCACCGACTCTAGTGAATTTATATCCATTCTATAATAGAGGCACCAGAACTGAACCGCATAATCGAGGTGCGGCCTGACTAGCGCAAGATATAGTTGCAATAAGACCTCTGCACTCGTGTTACTTACACTTCAAGATATAAAACCCAATACTTTGTTAGCCTTATTTCGAACATTAACGCACTGTTTTCTAGGCGTAGGTCCGGGCTTACAAGTACCCCTAGGTCTCTTTCACAAGTCGACTTCTCTAGGTTGATGTTGTTAAGGCTGTATACAATATAAGTATGTGTTCTTCCAATATTAAGTACGCTGCACTTGCTGGTGTTGAATTTCATTTGCCATTTTTCAGACCACCCCTGCAGTTTACTTGATCCTCCTGTAATGCATTTGCATCCTGCCCTGAATTAATTTGCCGCCTTATTTTGGTGTCATCCGCAAACTTGCTTATGTCACTGCTGATCCCAGTATCTAGATCGTTTATGTAGATTATGAACAAGAGGGCCTAGTACTGACCCCTGGGGAACCCCACTGGTTACACGGCCCCATTCAGATTTAACACCATCTACGCTGACCCTCTGCGTTCTATCGGTGAGCCATGATTTTATCCAATTTAAGACTTTCCCCTCGATACCATGAGCCTTAATTTTACTCAGAAGCCTCTGATGCGGTACTCTGTCAAATGCTTTGCTAAAGTCTAAGTAAATAACATCGTAATTTTCGTCATTATCTACTACCTCGAAGACTTTTCTAAAAAACGTTAGCAGATTTGTTAGACAAGATTTTCCCTTTGTAAACGCATGTTGAGAGTCGTAGATTAATTTGCTTTTCTCTAGATGCGATCGGATGCTATCTGCTATAATTGATTCAAGAAATTTCCCCACTACTGACGTCAAACTGATCGGCCGGTAATTTGACGCTGATGCTCTGTCTCCCTTTTTGAATATGGGTACTACATTTGCCTGTTTCCACAAGTCTGGCACAACTCCAGTGTCTAATGATTTTGTAAATAAGTTTACGAGGGGTCCGCTAATCTGTTCCCTACACTCTTTCAAGACTCGAGGGAAAATTTCATCCGGCCCTGGGGATTTTGTTTTCTTTAGTTTATTTATCTTCTTAAGAACATCCTCTTTTCTGATAGTGATATTCTTTAATTTCTCTTCTTCCTTTCCCTTAAATATCAGTTCCACCTCTGGAATTTCATCGCAAATTTCTTCTGTGAAAACTGATAAGAAGTAGCTGTTCAATGCTTTGCTTATTTCTGCACTGCCATTTATCACTTCTCCCCTCCCTGACTTTAAAGGCCCAACTTTGTCCTTGACCTTTGTCCTATATACCTGGAAAAATCCCTTGGGATTCGCCTTGGATTCTCTTGCTATTTTGATTTCATAGTCTCTCTTTGCTTTCCTTACATTTTTCTTAACATTCCTAGATAGTTCATTATACCTGTTTCTGAGCTGCTCCTCCCCTCCCTTTAATTTCTTATATATTCCTTTCTTTATTCCTATGTCATGTTTAAGTTTTCTGGTCATCCACCTTGGCTCATTCTTATTTGACCTAATTTTTCTGTATGGTATATTTGTTCTTGTGCTTTATGTAGTATACTAGTGAATATATTATAGTCATGATCAATTGTTGTGTCATCTATGACCTCACCCCTTCCTACTGGGAACTGACGTTACTGTTCCCAGGTGACCTCACCTAGGTACCTTCTTAACCCTGATAATCCGCCAACCGAAAGTTTGGGACTCTGACCATATTGTCATTGTTTTTCGTTTCCCAATTTAGGGTGAACCTGATTTCTCTGTGATCACTGTTACCTAGTTCTTCCCCTACTGTGATATCTCTGATAATATTTTCTTTATTTGTTAATACTAGGTCTAATATATTGTCACCTCTAGTAGGTTCTGTAATTAGTTGTTTCAAAAAATTGTCCTGTACTGCGTCTAGGAAGTCTTCAGATTCATAGTCGCCTACAATGTTGTCCCAGTCAATAGTTCTGAAGTTGAAATCCCCCATAATGCATAGATTGTTATATTTTGCCTGCCCTACTCATTTCCTGCCATATGGGCTGAGCTGCTTCTTTGCCAAGACTTGGGGGCCTGTAAATCACTCCCATAATTAGTTTTTCTCTTCCTTCCGTGATTTCTACCCACACAGACTCGGTTCCTATTTCACCCCTTATTGAATTATTAATACAACATTTTAATGAATCCTTGACGAAGAGTGCGACCCCTCCCCCCTTCCTACCATCCCTGTCCTTGTGAAAAAGGTTGTACCCTTCTATGTGGTACTCTGATAAAAAAATTTTGCTCGCTAGACTCATCCAAGTTTCGGTGATTGCTATGACGTCTACATTCTCGGTACATACAACCGCTCTCAGCAAGTCTATTTTATTTCTAACGCTCCTACTGTTTGCATAGTATACATTTAAATCTACCCTTCCCTGGTCCTGTTTTACCCCTTGTCCTGAGCAACTAATTTTACTTCCCAGGACCTGCTTGTTTTTTGACTCCCACTTTCCCCGACCTCTCTCTACTGGCGAAACCAGGCAGGTGATCTGGTAACACTGTACAGGGAAGAGTTGTTTAAGGTTTATGACCAGAGATTGCTAAAGAATGTGTTTCTTGTATATCAGTTTCTTGTTATCACTCTGTAAAATGCCGTAAAATAATGTTCTTGAGAATATGACATTGCTGCATTCATAACTGTAGATCCAGACGTATCTGATTATTTGTACTATTGATGCCAACTAGTGTTTTCATGCTTAATGACACATTAGGTAACCTCCGATAATAAATCTTAGGTAACTAGCCACTCTTCACCATACAGTGTTACCAGATCACCTGCCTCATATCATGCAGCTTGTTTTGGGTCGACCTTCTGCTCTTAACAGTACAGTTGGCTATACATAACCTCGCAAGTACACCGTAGTTTTTAATAAATACTCTTAATTCGATAAGTTTAATTAAAGGTAGTGATGTTTATACAGACTGATGCAACACCTTTATCAGCAGAACCTGTGAACCCTGGTTGTAGTCACTCACAAAACTAACTATGCAACATTGTGCTAAAAAATATGATACAGCGGATGAAGGATTTTGACAACCCTACTGAAACAGGAGTCGCTGTGTTCATTCTGAAATTCATCGACCCCTCCAAATAGAGATGGTTTTATTGAGTGACTATATATCTGCTGTTATTCCTATCTGCTGAGTCACCAGAATGATGCTTGAGATGATGATTATGTGTGATGACAGTGATGCCGTCCAGCGTGAAGGTGGAGAACCCGGGACCAGTGGTGGAGGGTCGCCAGGCTGAACTGCGCTGCCAGGCCTCCGGAGCACAGCCCGCCCCAACACTCTCTTGGAGCATCAATGGCACAGCATCCCCCGCCCGCCAGGTAAGAAACTCCGCCCACCAGGTACCACGCCGCCCGTCAAGTGAGTCACGCCGCCCGTCAATTGAGTCACGCCGCCCATCAATTGAATAACACCGCCCATCAAGTGAGTCACACCGCCCACCACCGACTGCCAGGGCTGTCTTGGGCCGGGGGGAGGGTTAACTGCACTAACCACAAGATCAGAAACCATCTCCAACAGGTGAGGGGTGGGGGAGGCGCGACAGTGCCTCTCGCATATCACTCACTGAATTATTGACTATGTAATTGACTGAAGCCGATCTATGACCTCCCCGCGTGTGTGTGTGTGTGTGTGTGTGTGTGTAAAAATAATAATAATAATTAGCGGTTTATTAAGATAACCAGGCGGCCCGAAGGCTGAAAATATACAATGAACAGAGATGATAGGTTGCATATGATGGAAGTGGGGAGTGGGTCACTTGAATGACACAAGTTTTCAAAACGAAAATATAAAACAAAGAGTCAACATATAGATTAACTATAGATCTGGTTTTGTTTCAGCTGGACTTGTAAGCATTCTTGTGACCTGATGTTGGCGCCCACTGTCTTGATGGCCGTTGCGTCATACCTGGTTGCTAATCCGCTACCTCACTATAGCTGCAGATGCACCATGTGGTCCGGGGAGGTCCTTTAGCTCACACAGGGTGTTGGAGATGGTTCTTGTTCCTCATGTGATGAAGTTAGGAATACAAAATTCCTCACCAGGGTGGAGTAGGGAGTCCTCATTTCTCTCCTGATGTAGTTTGGAGTCTTTCTTGGCTTTTCATCCAGCGTTGGTGGTGGCGAGTGTACCGCGGACAGGGTGTGTCTGGTCCGGTCAGGTCAACATTGACCGCAAATTACGATTGTCGCTGTAACAGTAGTTTCTATATTTCGAATTGAAATTGTCACTTTCGTATATCAGTTGTGGGTTGATTGTCAATCTTTGCACTGTACTGTTGGTGGGAGAATGTTGATAAATCCAGATGTGGAAGAAAAGATGGGGAAAGGGAAAGCCCAACAAACCAGACTGGCAGCTCTCTGCAGGGTCAAGAGACCATGGTCGCGTCAGCGGGCAGCGCCGACGTCCTCACCCTATAAATACTAAAGGCATTAGAACATAAGAATGGGGGAAACGGGGACCGGTGGTAGAAGCGGTATCGCTCTTGCCGATTCCCGGGCCGTTGGAAGTTGTTTGGACATACTTCCTAGCCCCTCAATAGTCCCTGTTCACCTAGAAGTAAAATAGGTACCTGTTGTAAGATGCTTTAACCAGTCTCTGTACTCAAGGTTCCTAATGCCTAGGATTAGTCTTGTCGTTCTCCTCTGACTTCTTTCCAAGGATTCTATATCCATTCTGTAATACTGTGAATAGAATTGAACTGCATAATCCAAGTGAGGTCTCACAAGCGCAAGATATGGTTTTAGGGTGACCTCGCTAGTCTTGTATCTAACACTCCTTTGTATGAACCCAAGTACTTTATTAGCCTTGTTTCGAGCAAATAGACATTGTTTACTTGGCTTAAGATTCCTACTTATCATTACTCGTAAATCTTTCTCGCAGTCGGATTTCTTAATAACATCGGTGTTCATCTGGTATCTGGTTTCCCTCTTTGCATCTTCTATACTGAGTACTTTACATTTGTCCACATTGAATTTCATCTGCCATTTTTCAGACCATTCGAAAAATTTGTTTAGATCTTCCTGTAATTTTGCGGAGTCCTCGTCAGATTTAATTACACGCTATATTTTAGTGCCATCAGCAAATTTACTTACGTTGCTGTCTACGCCGATATCTATGTCGTTGACGTTGCTCTAATCGGATCTAGTGCCGTTAATGCTCACTCCCTGTTTCCTGTCCTGTAACCATGCCCTAATCCATTTTAGAATATCTCCTTTAATTCCATGAGCCTCCACTTTTCTTATGAGTCTTTCATGGGGGAGTCTGTCGAAGGCTTTGCTAAAGTCGAGATATGCCACATCATAATTGTGTCCCTCGTTCACTGATTCGAAAACAGATGAAAAGAATGTTAATAGATTAGTTAGACATGAACGCCCGCTTGTGAAGCCATGTTGGAAATCATTGATCAACTTGTGCTTCTCCAGGTGATTTCGAATGGAGTTTGAAATGATTGCTTCCAGTAATTTGCCTACAATTGATGTTCGGCAGCCAGTGATTCTCAAACGGGAGGCACTTGGCTCCCAGGGGAGGAATTTCAAATCCAAGGGGAGGAATTTTAGCCAGGGGAGGAATTTCAGTCAGGGTAGGAACTCCAAACGGGGAAAGAATGTACTTTATACACTGTGTACTGTATATGTATCAAACGAAATACCAATATACACAACTATAAGGGCGATTACGAATTAACAGTCTACAAAAAACTGCTGCTTCAGACTTAATACTGTTTGGGACTATTCAATTATTGAGGTTTGAAAAACGTGCTCATGTTAATATGATGCTCGGGTGGCATTTGATAACTGTGGCTATTACAAGTTGCCAACAACTGGCGGTCTGGATGTGAAGGCCGATATCACTATTGGCCGAGTGTACGAATCAGGAATTGGCAGTGACTGTCTGAAATATAATATAGGACAATACTTGAAAACAAGCTTCATATCTAAGCTTGTCTTTTTCAACAAATTTTCACAGTTGTTGACAGTTGCGGACTAGTTGAGACGATAAAAAAACACTTAGAGAAAACCAATGAACATTTAGCGATATTTCAGTCACTGGCAATTCCGGATTCGTACCCTCGGCCAATAGTAATATCTGCCTCCACGACAATTTAAATAGTGAGTTACTTAATGCACAAAGGCAGAACATACCATACAAAAAACTAAGATCAGACAACAATGACCCTAAATGGATAAATAACTATTTAAAGAACATCATTGGCCAAAGGAAGGCTATAGGTAGAAGGATAAATCGTGGCGAAATTCACCTCCGGGACTATTATAGGGTATTGGCGAGTAGGGTTAAAACCGAGATAAGGAAAGCAAAGAGGAATAATGAGGTAAGGATAGGAGGGGAGGCGAAGACAAACTCCAAAGGATTCTACCAAACGTACCAAACTAAAACACGAGAAAAGATTGGACCAATACGGTCAGACACCGGCGAGCTCACTGATAACGACAGAGAAATGAGCAATAATTTGAATAAATATTTTTCAACAGTTTTCACCACCGAAAATTTAAACATGATACCCGAGGCACCGACTCTATTCAGAGATAGTGAAGAAAACAAATTAAGTGAGATAGTAGTGACTAGTAACGATGTTAGTAAGCAAATAGACAAACTAAAGCCTAATAAGTCACCTGGTCCCGATGAGATATTTGCCAGAGTATTAAAGGAATGTAAGGAAAAGCTTAGTATGCCCTTAGCAAAGTTATTTAACATGTCCTTAAAAACAGGTGTAGTACCAGAATCCTGGAGGATAGCGAATGTAATACCGATTTTCAAGAAGGGGGATAGATCACTATCCTCTAACTACTGCCCAATCAGTCTAACATCAATAGTAGGTAAATTACTAGAATCAATTATTTCAAACTCTATTCGAAACCACCTGGAGAAGCACAAGTTGATCAATGATTCCCAACATGGCTTCACAAGCGGACGTTCATGTCTAACTAAGCTATTAACATTCTTTTCATCAGTTTTCGAATAGGTGGACGAGGGGCACAATTATGATGTGGTATATCTCGACTTTAGCAAAGCCTTCGACAGAGTCCTCCACGAAAGACTAATTAGAAAGGTAGAAGCGCATGGCATCAAAGGTGACATCCTTAAATGGATAAGGGCGTGGTTACAGGACAGGAAACAGAGAGCGAGCATTAATGGCACTAAGTCCCATTGGAGCAACGTCACAAGTGGAGTTCCCCAAGGCTCGGTACTAGGACCATTATTATTTATTATATACATAAACGACATAGATATCAGCATAGACAGCAACATAAGCAAATTTGCTGATGATACTAAAATAGGACGTGTTATTAAATGTGACGAGGACTCGGCAAAACTACAGGAAGATCTAAACAAATTTTTCGAATGGTCTGAAAAATGGCAGATGAAATTCAACGTCGACAAATGTAAAGTACTCAGTATAGGAGATGTAAACAGGAAACCAGATACCAGATGAAGAACGATGCCATAGAGAAATCCGACTGCGAGAGAGATTTAGGAGTAATGATAAGTAGGAACCTTAAGCCAAGTAAACAATGTGTTTTTGCTCGTAACAAGGCTAATAAAGTACTTGGGTTCATATACTAGCGAGATTATCCTAAAACTGTATCTTGCTCTTGTGAGACCACCTGGATTACGCAGTTCAGTTCTGATCACCGTATTACAAGAATAGATATAGAATCCTTGGAAAGAATTCAGAGGAGAATAGCAAAGACTAATCGGGTATTAGGAATATGAGTATAGAGACAGGTTAAAAGCATCTTAATTTGCACTCCTCAAAAGAGACGTAAAACGGTATTACTGATAAGTGTATAAGTGGAAGGCGGGCTAAACCGAGGACATTACAAAGGTACTCAAACTATCCAACCAGGAGCGAACTCGTAACAATGGTTTTAAATTGGACAAATTTAGATTTAGGCGGGAAATAGGTAAACACTGGTTTGGAAACAGAGTAGTGGATGAATGGAACAAGTTACCAAATATCATCATTAACTCGAATATGCTGAATAGCTTCAAACACAGGTTGGATGCTTATATGAGCAATAGGGGTTGGGTGTAAACGGGGCTGCCCAGTATGGGCCAATAGGCCCGCTGCAGTTTCCTCCATTCTTATGTTCTTATGTTCTTATGTTCCCTACCTCGACATTACTAATGAGGTTTTCTCTGTTTGACAGAACTAAATCGAGTATATTATTACCCCAGGTGGGTTCAGATATATGTTGGCTTAGGAAACAGTCCTGATTGTTTCAAGAAAATCCTCTGATTCTGAGTTACCCATAAGGTCAATCCAATCTATTTGGCAAAAGTTAAAGTCGCTACTATACAGACTTCGATATATAGGGAAGCCCTGTGCATTTATCCCAAATAAGTCGCTCATTAACTCTATCAAGATTAGGAGGTCTATATATTACCCCTGTGATTAGTTTTTCCCTACCATCAATTAATTCTAACCAATTTGTTTCTGTATTCTGTTCAGTTTTTATTTCCTTATTTATTTCACACTTCAGATTATCCCTGGCATAGATTGCTACTCCGCCTCCTTTCCTAATCTGCCTACCGGTATGGAATAATTTGTAACCTGCAATTTGGTATTCGACAGGTAACTCACGTGAGTCTAGGTTTATCCATGTTTCGGTGAATGCTATTATATTGATTTTTTCGGTACGTACCAACTCCCTAATTTCATTCATTTTGTTTCTCATACTTCTACTGTTTGCGTAGTAGATATTTAAGTTAATCGTTTTCTGAGTCCTCTCTTTGTCGCGTTTAGGTTTTAACTCCCTTCCTAATTTAGTTTTGTCATCATTCCTAGCACTATTACCCTGTAACCTTCACTTTGCTTACCCGCCCCCACTGCAGTCTCCTCCACCCCTGTGCTCATATATTCTCCTAGCAGTGTGTGTGTGTGTGTGTGCGCGTGTTAACCTTACTCCTTTTCCCTCTCCTCATTCTCTCCTTCACTCCTCTCTCCTCTCCCACACTGCTCTCCCCACTCCCACATCTCTCTCCCCACTCCAACGTCTCTCTCCCCACTCCCACATCCTACTCCTACATTCCTCTTTTCACTCCTACACCTCTCTCCCCACTCTCACACCTCTGTCCCCACTCCCACATCTATCTCCCCACTCCTACATCCCTCTTCCCACTGATTCCCAACGTGGCTTCACAAGCGGGCGTTCATGTCCAACTAATCTATTAACATTCTTTTCAGCTGCTTTCGAATCAGTGGACGAGGGGCACGACTTTGATTTGTTATATCTTGACTTTAGTAAAGCCTTCGACAGAGTCCCACAAGAAAGACTAATAAGAAGAGTGGAGGCCCATGGCATTGGAGGAGATATTCTAAAATGGATTAGTGAGTGGTTACAGGACAGAAAACAGCGAGTGAGCATTAACGGTACTAAATCCGATTGGAGTAACGTCACTAGTGGGGTACCCCAAGGCTCGGTACTTTGAATTGAATTGAATTGAATTGAATTGAATTGAATTGAATTGAAACAGTTTATTTAGCCAGAAAAACACAGATGCAGAGTGGATAATAATAACAATATTAACATGGCTAAGCCAGTTGAGAGCCTGAGCTCTCCTGTAGGCACCTGATATATACTATACATTTATCTCAAGGAAGTATTATGTAGCATTTAGTATCATCTGGAATAGTACAATAGCATGGAGGTAATATGAACATCTCATAATGTTACCACGGTTATCACTTCAATATTTATTTATTTTATTTATTTATTATTATTGTTTTTATTATTATTATAAGTATATACATAAATTACAGTGGAATTGAAAACATAAATATAATGGGGAAGCAGTACAACATGGGTTGTACAGTAATAAGGTTGAACAAGAGGACAGAGCTGTCAGGATTATGTCTAGTTGGCAAATATATTTTTTTTAATGGTAATTTCTTACCTATTTACATGATAATTTCCGATAAAACGGTTTTGATGGTACAATAAAAGCAGGTACTGTAAATATAGTAGTTGTTACAAGAAATATTAATACTTAGTCAAAAGATAATTTTTAAGAGATGATTTAAAGGAAGGGAGCGTAGTCTTTGCTCGGACGGGTGGGGGTAAATTGGACCATTATTATTTATTATATACATAAACGACATAGATATCGGCGTAGACAGCAACATTAGTAAATTTTCTGATGACACTAAAATAGGGCGTATAATTAAATCTGACGAGGATTCCGCAAAACTACAAGAAGATCTAAAAAAAAAATTCGAATGGTCTGAGAAATGGCAGATGAAATTCAATGTGGACAAAGGGTAAAGTGCTTAGTCTAGGAGATGTAAACAAAGAAACCAGACATCAGATGAACATCGATGTTAGAGAGAAATCCGAATGTGACAAAGATTTAGGAGTAATGATAAATTGGAATCTTAAGCCAAGTAATCAATGTGTATTTGCTCGAAACAAGGCTAATAAAGTATTGGGTTCATACAAAGGAGTGTTAGTTATAAGACTAGAGAGGTCATTCTAAAACTATATCTTGAGCTTGTGGGACCTCACTTGGATTACGCAGTTTAATTCTGGTCACCGTATTACAGAATAGATATAGAATCCCTAGAAAAAATTCAGAGGAGAATGACAAGACTAATCCCGGGCATTAGGAACTTTGAGTACAGAGACAGGTTAAACCGTTAAAGCATCTTAATTTGCACTCTCGAGAGAGAGTGAGGCGCGATATTATAGAGGTTTATCAATGGAAGTCAGAGCTAAACAAAGGTGATATCACAAAGGTACTCAAACTATCCAACCAGGAGCGAACTCGTAACAATGGCTTTAAATTAGACAAATTTAGATTTAGGCGCGAGATAGATAAACATTGGTTTGGAAAGAGTAGTGGAATGAATGGAACAAGTTACCAAACGCCATCATTAACTCGAATACGCTAAATAGCTTCAAACATAGGTTGGATGGATATATGAGGATAGGACTCGTAGCAACGGATTTAAGTTGGATAAGTTTAGGTTTAGGAGAGAGATAGGAATTAACTGGTTCATAAATAGGGTGGTGGACGAGTGGAACAAGCTTAGCAACTTTGTAGTAAGTGCTGGAACGCTGGAAAGTTTTAAAAGGAGGCTAAATAGATTCATGGGTGATAGAGAGTGGTAGTAACTCTCGACAGGAACTGCCACGCACAGGCCAACCGGCCTATTGCAGACTCCTTATGTTCTTATGAGCGATAAGGGTTGGGTGTAAATGGGACTGCCCAGTATGGGCCAATAGGCCTGCTGTAGTTTCCTCCAGTCTTATGTTCTTATCTCTCTCCTACACTCCTCTCTCCACTCCTACATCCACGTCATTTATTAATAGTTTATGATTCACTCCCAAGACACACCAGGCTAGCCAGCAATACCTACCTTTACAGCACTGGTTCTTATGGGTCGTCAAGCCTATGGGACCCACTATCACCCTGTGCACCTCCCACACACGTCCTGGCCCTCACCGCTGTCAGGGGAAAAGATAACGGTATGAAACTTTGAGAACACGATCCCGAGTTTTTGTATGCACTCATGCTGTACTTAATATAAGTACAGTATGAGGTGATACACAGCCTTTAGGTACCTATACATATAATATAAGTATACGTACCTAAAGGCTGTGCAGATTATGTAGAACATATACATGTCTCGGGCAAAAGACTTCCGATATTCACTTGCCTGGATGTCTTTTTTACTGTCCCTGATTTTTTATGGGAAAAGTTAATTAAATATCTAAAAAAAAAAAACTTTCAAATTTATTGTGTGTATCAATTCACAGATTACTAAATGGTGTCAGTAGCGGTAACCTTTGTCATGTGAGGTCATAACTCCTGTCACATCACGTCTACAGCCTCTGGTTTGGTGGTTCCTTTGAAATGTTGACAAATTGACACAGATTGACTTGTTGGCTACTAAATGTTGAGATAAATTACCTGCACCTAAAATATGTCACTAACCCTGGTACACTGCCGACAAGAGGCCCGGTGCCGGACCTCCCTGGTTAAAAAATGTGCGGTGGTGTGGGATCACTCAGCACCTGCCAAATTCTGTCTAGGTATTGTATTTTTTCTCAAAACTTTAGCTTGTCAGCCGGGCCAGTGCCGGGCACATGGGCATGAAAAATCACTAGTCCGGGCACTGCTAATCTGCACAGCCCGACTTACATCCATACACCTGTACAGCGCTGTACTTAGTTTCTAGTATTGGTTTCCACACGAAGAGCGGCATCGATTGCCTGACTACAATGGCGGTTATGAGACTATGTAGTATTAAGCTATTTGTGAGAGATATGAACCAAACTAGCCTAAGTTACCTAACCTAATATGGCGATCTTAGAGCAATTTTTAGTTTAATAAGACTAATATGTTGGTCTGATTTGATTTGACTGGATAGTTTGACTGTTTCAAAAGAAGTGTAGGTCCGCAGTAGATAAATAGATAAATACATTGACAAAATATTTAAATTCCTGGTCATTTTCGAGGTAATGATTAACTTTTCCTTTATACAAAAAGTTCCTAAACCCGCTCGTTAGGTACAGAAGCAATGATAAAGTATTACAACCATATAACGTACTATATTATGAAGCTTGCAGTTTGTGTGTAGTCCTGCTGTCCACTGGGTTATAACTACACCACCTCTTTCCGTGCTTCAGAGTACGGTGGAGGGAACTGTGGCGTGGTCCAGGCTGGTGGTGAACGTCACTCGTTCCCACAACGGCGTGAATGTCACCTGCACCGCCACCAACCCCGCCCTCCACGGCCACCACCTCGCCAACACCACCAGTCTCATCGTTTACTGTAAGTCTTCATGCTAACATCTCCTCCTCACTCACATATTATCTCAAGTGATGCTCTATGCAGTCTTCCTGTTCACTATTACAGTTGTTTTTGCTTAAAGATTTCACTTTTCATCTGAACTTATAATAGTTCACTCTAAGTTCTTATTAAACAGACAAAAAAATCATTCAGAGTTCTCTAATGGTACAATTGTACTTCATTTCTTGGTGATAGTTTACACCTTTGTACTTTGTAATCATATGTTTTCATCGATCTCTGTACAGTAAGATCAACTTTGCTTTGTTGTAAGACTTATATGTGTATTCCTGTGTGCGTGTGTGTGTGTGTGTGTGTGTGTGTCAGATCCGCCTTCGGTGTCAATCTCGCTGGGTCGCTCCCTGCAGCCGGAGTCACTGAAGGAAGGGGATGACGTGTATTTTACCTGCACAGTCTCCGCCAGCCCGCCCGCCTCTGCCATCACTTGGTTCCATCAAGTAGGTTTCCCTGACCTTGTATTTATTTTGGTACCACCTATCTATTTGTCCCTGTGAACCCTATGCGTGTGCTTTAATAATTACAAGATCCATATATTGTATTTAACTTTAGATCTACATCATAACTTCAGGTTCTCACTGTTATATATGTGTATGTTTATATGCTGCCTTTATTGATTATATAGACATTATATATTTTGTTACTTCTTACCAAAGTTAGAATGTGTTTAGGCCTGTGTAATCACGAATGCGTTAGGCTCGTTGTACGACAATAACAACAATAAACCAGCTGAGCTAGAGTCAGCATGTGGCTTCTCCTTCTCCCATTAAATCATGGCGACGAGGATGGGATTCACAAAGTGTTGGTGAAGTCCTTGAAGAGAGGATAGTGACCACTGAAGGGAAGGCTACTCTGAACCTGGAGAATTTGAGTGAAGAGAGCAACCATGGCTGGAGTCAGTGGATACATCGGACGAGTGGGGGAGTATGAAGCAGACAAGGAGAACTTCACATCACATTGTGAGAGAATGGACTTCTTCTTCCTGGCAAATGAATTACTGGACGACAGTGGTGATGCTCAGAAGAAGAAGGCCCTTGAAGAGAAAAGGAAAGCAATCTTTTTGACAGAGGTAGGAGCTAATGTTTATTCTACTCTGGTCAATCTGCTTGCTCCAGACAAACCCAAAGACTCCTCACTGATTCAGATTACCAAGATTATGAAGCAACATTTTGATTCTGCTCCACTTGAGATTGCTGAAAGTTACAAATTTGGCACAAGAGATAGAAGGAAAGATGAATCAGTAAGTGATTATATAGTAGCATTGAAGAAGTTATCCATTCACTGTAACTTTGGACAGTTCTTGAACCGAGCTCTAAGGGACAGGTTTGTGATAGGTCTGAATTATGAAAAAATACAGAATAAGTTAATGAACACCACTAACTCAACTTTTGAAAAAGCATGTCAGATAGCTACAAGCAAGGAATTAGCAGAGAAAAACACCAGAGAATTTGTTCTCAATGCCGGTAGTGAAACAGCTAAAAGGAAGAATTATGCCACAAAACAAGGAACACATGTTGATTTAAAATGTAAGCGATGCCTAGGGAAACATGAAAGCTTTCACTATAAGTTCAAAAGTTCAAGATGTTACAATTGTGAACGTATTGGACATATTGCTCCTGCCTGTGAGAAAGAAATTACAGCCCCTGCCAGAAGTGATAAAGGTAGAGTATATGTCGTTGAAGGTGATGAGAAGGAAATGAAAAACAGTATTCATGAGAGTGTTAGTAATTTTGATCCTGATAATGATGAGAGTGCCCATGTGTTTACTATTTACACCAGTCGTGAAGAGAAAGTTAAACATAGGTATAATGTGGACTTGTGCATTAATAACACAACTGTAACCATGGAAGTGGATACTGTATCTGATTTCTCTATAATGAGTAGAGATATGTATGAGAAGCTATTTGCACATGTGCCTTTAGAAGACTCAGGTGTCAAGTTGAGAACCTATACTGGAGAGATTTTGAGCACAGAAGGTAAATTAGAGTGTGAGGTAGAATACAAAAATCAGAATTCAAAGTTGCCATTAACTATAGCTAGCTATGTGAATAGGCCAACTTTGTTAGGTAAGAACTGGTTGTGTGAACTTGAGATGGACTGGAAGGAGATATTTAGTGTTAGAATGTGTAACAGTGTTCCAGATCTTGAGAAATTGCTTGAAAAATACAAGATTTTATTTGTAAAGGGACAGGATGGTATAAAGGGTTATGAAGCTCATATCACCATTGACAAAGTTGAGGTTGAGAAGGAATTAGACAGGCTTGTGAGTGAGGGAATTATTGTGAAAACCGCCAAGAGCAATTGGGCTGTTCTTATAGTAATTGTACCTAAAGCTGATAAATCTGTTAGACTATGTGGTGATTATATAGTTACCACTAATCAAGCTGTTGAGGACGAGCAATATCCCTTACCCACGTCTCAAGATGTGTTTGGTGCACTAACAGGTGGAACCATTTTCACCAAGTTAGACTTGTCCCAAGCATATGCTCAGGTCTTTGTTGATGCTGAAAGTTAACAGTACCTTACCATCAACACTCATAAAGGATTGTATAAGTTCAAAAGGTTGCCTTGTGGAGTTAAAAGTGCACCAAAGTTTTTTCAGTGCATTATGGACAAAATTCTTGTAGGTCTTCCCAATGTGTTATGTTTTCAGGATGATGTCCTTATTGTTGACAGTGACATCCAAAATCATGTCAAAACCCTAGCCACAGTATTCGAAAGATTGTTGGCACACAATGTCAGGCTCAACAAGAGCAAATGTTCATTCCTAGCTAAAGAAGTAACTTATCTTGGCTACAAAGTGAATGCAGAAGGGCTGAGACCTGTCGAAGATAAAGTAAGAACCATAGTAAATTTACCTGCTCGAAAAAATGTCAGTGAATTGAAAGCTTTCCTGGGTATGATACAGTATTATTCAAAGTTCTTGAGTGGACTTTCATCAGTTTTAGCCCCTCTGCATGAATTGTTAAAGAAAGGGATTCCATAGAAATAGAACAGTGTAACTCAGAAGTCATTTGAAGATTGTAAAGCTGCTCTGACTAGTACTGATGTTTTGGTCCACTATGATACCAGTAGAACACTAAAGCTTATTTGTGATGCATCGGGCTATGGATTAGGTGCTGTCATAAGTCACATAATGGATAAAGGTGAAGACAGACCCATTGCATATGCCTCGAGAACTCTTACCCAAAGCGAGAAAAATTATGCACAAATAGAGAAAGAGGCTTTGTCTATCATATTTGGAGTAAAGAAATTTCACCAGTATCTATATGGGAAGAATTTTGTTTTAATAACTGATCACAAGCCTCTCTTGGCAATTTTGGGTCCTAAATCACCTGTTACTACACTTGCTGCAGCAAGAATGCAGAGATGGGCTGTGATATTGTCTGCATATGACTATGAGATACAGTACAGACGTTCAGAGGATCATTCCAATGCAGATGCTTTATCCAGGTTGCCATGTAGTGGATCAAATGATGGAATAGAGCCTAAGGTTTATGCTGTAACCATGATAGCAGATTTTCCAGTCACCTCCGGAATGATTGCTCATGAAACTAGGAAAGATGTTGTATTAGGAAGAGTCCTGGAATATGCACTAAATAGTTGGCCAGCGATTTGTCAATCCTTAGACTTTCAACCGTATCATTTAAGGAGATATCAATTATCATTAGAACAGGGATGTGTGTTGTGGGGTATGAGAGTGTTAATTCCACAATGTTTTAGAGGAAAATTTTTGAATGAACTGCATTTTGAACATCCAGGTATATGTGCCATGAAGGCATTGGCCAGAAGTTTTGTATGGTGGCCTAAAATGGATGGTGAAATAGAAATGATGGTACGTGAGTGCTCTATTTGTCAGAATGTTAGGAGTATGCCACCCAGCACACCCTTGAAAACCTGGAAATGGCCTACCCGTCCCTTCCAAAGAGTACACATTGACTCCTGTGATAAGGGAACAGACAAATTTCTTGTATTAATTGACAGTCATTCAAAGTGGATTGATGTTAAGCACATGTACAGTACTAATGCTGGTAGCACCATTGATGAATTAAGATTAATATTTGCTGAACATGGAATCCCAGAAGAGGTAGTACCTGACAATGGTCCTCCATTCCAATCATTACAGTTTAAAAACTTCATGAGACTCAACGGTGTAAAGCATGTACTGACCCCACCCTATCATCCTGCCTCTAATGGTGCAGCTGAGAGATCAGTTAGAATTGTAAAGGAAGCACTTTCCAAGCAGGTAATTCAAGGAACTGTAGGAAAATCAATGAAACACAGACTAGCAAATTTCTTACTCAGATACAGAGCCACGCCACATAGTGTGACAGGATGTACTCCTGCAGAGTTAATGGTGAAGAGACAGTTGAGAACAAGATTAAGTTTAGTTAAGCCAAGTCTGTTTGAAGTTGTAGAGAGGAAACAAGCTCAACAAAAGATGTATCATGATAAGTGTTCCAGTGAAAGAGTGTTCAAGGTAAATGATAGGGTGAGAGTTAGGAACATGGCTAAAGGTTATGGTACTGTACATGCAAAGTGGATAACTGGTGTCATTGACAAGGTATGTGGATCTAGGACATATTTAGTGAAATGTGGTAACTCTTTGAGATATGTTCATGTGGATCACATCATTCAGGCACATGACGAGATGAATGTAGCACCAGGACATGATGATAAACTCGACACAGTTACAGATGATCATCATGGTGATGAGGTCAAAGATGATGTTTCCCAGCATCCACTCACTGTGTCAACTGACTGTAGTGATGATACGTCTGTCACTGATAATGCACAGAGTGCAAGTAAAACTCCTGTAAAACTTGATGGAGGGAATAGTCCTAGAAGATCTAACAGAGTTAGGAGACCTGTAATGAAATTAGACCTCTGATTATCTGAATTGTGAACAGGCCTTTCAAAACTGTGTAGTTAGGAAGTTATATTTCTTGTGTTATATTCTCTTCTTCCCTGCCATATGTAATTCTGTAAGTTTTGTTTATTTAGGACTTGTAGCAGCCATGCTTTCTTTTTTAAAGAAAGAAATAGTGTTATATATGTGTACGTTTATATGCTGCCTTTTTTATTATATATACATTATATATTATGCTACTTCTTACCAAAGTGAGAATGTGTTTAGGCCTGTGTAATCAAGAATGTGTTAGGCACGTTGTACGACAATAACAACAATAAAACAGCTGAGCTAGAGTCAGCATGTGTCTGACTACACTCACCATAACTTTAGTCCTCAAATTAGCTTAACTTCAGCTCTGTATCATAACTTCCGGTCATCATCAACACGTCAAGGCCTAAGACCTTCCAATGCTCTTCTTAGCCTCCCAGTCTTTGTCCCGTTTTCTATGTTCTCTCATCAACTACTCGTTCTTTAATGTCTTCTCTTTTCTTTCTCTATATTTTTCTTGAATCTTTCCTTGTTCTCTTAAATCTAATGGACAATATCTTGTCTAGATGGACAATATCTTGTCTGGTGAACAATATTTTGTCTGGATGGACAATATCTTGTCTGCATGGACAATATCTTGTCTGGATAGACAATATCTAGTCTGGTAATGGGAACAATCCCATTATCTGCCTTTGTGCAGGAGGCAATGATATTGGCCGGTGAAGGAGTAAGGATCTTCTTGAAAGTTCAAGAGAGCTATAAAACGTATTAGTGGTGTCCTGCCTAGAAGGAGAGATGGCAATAAATGGTTGTCAAGGGTAGTTGGTGTCATCGGCCGTCTTGACAGATATTGCAAGTCAATATCAGTCCCATTCATTGACAACTGGGACAAATTTTACGGCAGAAGGGACCTATATGCGAGGGATGGGGTTCATCTGTCAGGGGATGGGGTGGCAACCCTGGCTAGCTCTCTCGAGAGGGCAGTTCAAAAGATGTCGAAGTCTTGAAACTGCGAGGGGAACATATGGGCACGGAGGAGGAGGAGACTGCAGTGGGAGCGGGCAAACAAAGTGAAAGGTTACAGGGAAATAGGGCGAGGAATGATGACAAACTAAATTAGGCAGGGAGTTAAAACCTAAAGCGTCAAAGAGAGGACTCGGAACACGACTAACTTAAATGTCTACTCCGCAAACAGTAGAAGTATGAGAAACAAAATGGATGAAATCAGGGCGTTGGTATGTACCGAAAAAATCGATATGATAGCATTCACTGAAACGTGGATAAACTTACTCACGTGAGTTACCTGTCGAATACCAAATTGCAGGTTACAAATTATTCCATACCGATAGGCGGATTAGGAAAGGAGGCGGAGTAGCAATCTAATTCAGGGATAATCTGAAGTGTAAAATAAATAAGGAAATAAAAAACTGAACTGAATACAGAAACAATTTAGATAAAATTAATCGATGGTGGAGAAAAATTAATCGCAGGGGTAATATATAGACCTCCTCATCTTGATAAAGTTAATGAGCGACTAATTTGGTATGAAATGCGGAGGGCTTCCAGAGATAGCAAAGTCTGTATTGTAGGTGACTTTAACTTTAGCCAAATAGATTGGATCGATCTTACAGGTAACTCAGAATCAGAGTATTTTCTTGAAACAATCCAGGACTGTTTCCTAAGTCAACATATAACCGAACCTACCTGGCGTAATAATATACTCGATTTAGTTCTGTCAAACAGAGAAAACCTCATTAGTACATGACCTCACACAATGTAGCCATAGAGGGCGGCCTCACTTTACCTGACAACGATAGCCTCACAAAATATGACGGTTGAAGATAACCTGATCGCGAGATCTAAGGTTGACGAGTTCCACAACTATTTAAATAATGAGTTACTTAAGGCAGAACATACCATACAGAAAACGCAGATCAGACAATAATGACCCTAAATGGATAAATAATAATTTAAAGAATATTATTAGACAAAAGAAGGCTATAGGTAGGAGAATTAATCGTGGTGTAGTTTACCTCCGAGATTATTATAAGGTATTGGCCAGTAGGGTTAAGATCGAGATAAGAAAAGGAAAGAGGAATAATGAAATGAAGGTAGCAAGGGAGGCGAAGTCAAAACCCAAGGGATTCTTTCAAATGAATCAAACTAAAACACGAGAAAAGATTGGACCAATACAGTCAGTTACCGGTGAGCTAACTGATAACGACAGAGAAATGAGCAATAATCTGAATAAATATTTTTCAATAGTTTTCACCACCGAAAATTTAAAGATGATACACGAGGCACCGACTAAATACAGAGAAAATGAAGTAAATAGATTAAGAGAGATAGTAGTGACGAGTAACGACGTTAGTGAGCAAATAGACAAGTTGAGGCCAAATAAGTCGCCAGGTACCGATGAGATATTTGCCAGAGTATTTAAGGAATGTAAGGAAGAGCTTAGTATGCCCTTAGAAAAATTGTTTAACATGTCCTTAAAAACGGGTGTAGTACCAGAATCCTAGAGGATAGCGAATGTAAGACCGATTTTCAAGAAGAGAGATAGATCACTATCCTCTAACTACCGTCCAATCAGCTTAACATCAATTGCAGGCAAATTACTGGAAGCAATAATTTAAAACTATTCGAAATCACCTGGAGAAGCACAAGTTGATCAATGATTTCCAACATGGCTTCACAAGCGGGCGTTCATGTCCAACTCGTCTATTAACATTCTTTTCATTTGTTTTCGAATTAGTAGACGAGGGGCACGACTATGATGTGGTATATCTTGACTTTAGTAAAGGTTTCGACAGAGTCCCACAGGAAAGACTAATAAGAAGAGTGGAAGCCCATGGCATTGGAGGAGATATTTTAAAATGGATTAGTGTGTGGTTACAGGACAGGGAACAGCGAGTGAGGATTAACGGCACTAAATTCGATTGGAGTAACGTCACTAGTGGAGTTGTCCAAGGCTCAGCACTTGGACCATTATTATTTATAATATACATAAACGACATAGATATCGGCGTAGACAGTAACATAAGTAAATTTGTTGATGACACTAAAATAGGGCGAGTAATTAAATCTGACGAAGACTCCGCAAAACTGCAGGAAGATCTAAACAAATATTTCGAATGGTCTGAAAAAAATGCAGATGAAATTCCATGTCGACAAATGTAAAGTATTTCATCAATGAGATGTAAACAGAGAGACCAGATATCAGATGAACAACGATGTTATAGAGAAATCCGAATGTGAGACAGGTTTAGGAGTAATGATAAGTAGGAATCTTAAACCAATTAAACAATGTGTATTTGCTCAAAACATGGCTAATAAAGTACTTGGGTTCATACAAAGGAGTGTTAGTTACAAGACTAGAGAGGTCATCCTAAAACTATATCTTGCGCTTGTGAGACCTGACTTGGATAACGCAGTTCAATTCTGGTCACCGTATTACAGAATGGATATAGAACCCCTAGAAAGAAATCAAAGGATAATGACACGACTAATTCCGGGCATTAGGAACCTCGAGTGCACAGACAGGTTAAAGCATCTTAATTTGCACTCCCTCGAGAGACGTAGAGTGATGGGCGATATGATAGAGGTTCATAAAGAAAGTCAGGGCTAAACAAAGGTGACATAACAAAGGTACTCAAACTATCCAACCAGGAGCGAACTCGTAACAATGGCTATAAATTCGAGAAATTTAGATTTAGGTGCGAAATAGGTAAACATTGGTTTAGAAATAGAGTAGTGGATGAATGGAACAAGTTACCAAACATCATCCTTAACTCGAATACGCTAGATAGCTTCAAACATTGGTTGCATGGATATATGAGCAATAGGGGTTGGGTGTAAATGGGACTGCCCAGTATGGGCCAATAGGCCCGCTGCAGTTTCCTCCATTCTTATGTTCTTCCTGTTTTCTAAGTCTCCTCCAGGATTCCATAACTAAGACTTCCCAGTAACTCTTCCCGTTCTAGTGAAATATTTAAGCTGTTGTACTTTATTGCAGTTAAATTTGTTTCTATTTTCCTGTCTGCTTCTTGTAACAGTTTTCGTCTCATATACAACGTGTGACATATGATGGCAGGGTCGTGTGAAGACGCACAACGTGAGCGAGGGTGTGGTGGTGAGCGGTGACTCCCTGGTGCTGCAGAGTGTGAGGCGGCAACAGGCGGGTCAGTACCGCTGTGGTGCCGCCAACCCGCTGGCCAGAGTCGTCAGTGCTCCAGTGCTTCTCAGGATAAAATGTAAGACAATTTATGAACTCTCACCACTCTTCTTTCACCAAGTAGCCGTTTTTACTGTGTACTATTTGATAATTTGTCTTCTCTTGCCATGTCAAATTCAAATTCAAATTCAAATTCAAAACATTTATTGACAAATATATCAAAAGAGGCTGGTTAGCATGCTAACTAGCCCTAGCTCTCCTGAAGTAGCCTTTTTTCTATTCTTCTTTATCCTCTTCACCACTGATCAGCTCCTTAGCCGCTTGGGCGATCGGTCACGTCTCTGTTACGCACTGTTGGCATGCACTGGCTCCTGAATATATCTGAACCTGCTCCAGTATTGGTAAAGTCTGGCCTTGAAAGAGTTCACACTCGGTGCCGTCTCAACACTCTCTGGTAGATTGTTCCTGGAGTTCACAACTCTCACTCCTAAGAAGTTACCCCTTACAGTTTTCCGAACTTGTGGCTTCTTCAACCTTGAGCTGTGACCCCTTGTGGAGCGAGCGTCCTCCAGCTCCAGGTATGAACACTCGACTGAATAGTGCCCTCTGAGATGTTTATAAACTTCAATTTGGTCACCCCTTGCCTACCTATGGTATGAGCTAAGCAATTGCAGGCATTTTAATCTCTTTAGATAACTGAGATGCAGTAGCACAGGCACCAGTCTGGTTGCCCCCCCTTGGAAATTTTAAATTAACTGACATTCCCTAGCATACCTCGGGGATCAGACGGGGTGACAGTACTCCAGACGGGGAAGCACTTCACTCTTGATGATCGTTACGAAGGACGGACCGTCCAGATATCTGAACGACCTTCTTATAAGGCATACACGTTTAGTTGCTTTATTCACCTTCTCACAATAGCCCGAGAAATTCAGTTGGTTAGCAATACACGCACACAAACACACACGCACGTTCTTTTCACATTCGTCTCTGTTAATGCAGCTTCTTCATTCTGTTGGGACATATGATACACCTCCTTACTGTTGGTACGTCCCAGGTGCATCCTCTTACACTTCGTGACATTGAATCTCAGCAGCCATTTTATCGACCATTCTTGAAGCTCACAGAGGTCCTTCTGCAGCTCTTCACAGTCTGCTTGGTTCTTGATTTCCCTAAACAACTCGGCATCGTCCGCAAACATTTGTAAGGAGGAGTGTATAGTTTCTGGCATGTCATTTATGAAGCAAACAAATAACACCGGTCCCAATACACTGCCCTGTGGTAACCCGCTTGTCACGGGTACACATGGCGATTTAGTATCATTAATCACCACAGCTTGCAATCATGCAATAAGTCTCCGATCCACGCTCGGCCACTTCCCCGAATCCCGTACCCTTCCAATTTAATTCTCAGCCTTTCATGGGGCACACTGTTGAAAGCCTTGGCAAAATCTAGGTATATATTGTCGATATTTCCGCCTTGTTCTATAATGTGAGTCCAAACATTCAGCACCCTGAGTAATTTTGTCAAGCAGGAGCGTCCCGGCATAAAACCGTGTTAGCAGTCCTTTACAATGCTGTTTTATAGTAGAAGTTTCATCATGGCATATCTTATAATGCTGGTCAGGCTCATTGGTCTATAATTATTCGTGGAGTTACGATCGCCCTTCTTGAATATAAGAATGACAAGCCATTTTTTATTCACTGGGGACCTTTTCCTCATCCAGGCATCTACAGAACAGGATCTTCAGGGGCTCAGCAAGCTCGATGCACAACTCTCTTAGCACTCTGGGATGTAACATGTCAGGGCCGGTGTTACCTCCACAGTAGAATAAACTAGAAGAGAGAGAGAGAGAGAGAGTTGAGAACGAGCTTTGCTGATGTGTTAAGTGAGAAAAAGTTGGCCCCTCGCCTCCGGCTGACTAGCTCGATCAGTCTCTAGCTGTCCAGTGAGCCACCAAGTCAGGGAGTTAATAAGTCCTACATTAGACCCGAAACACGTAAGTTTTATATGGTTTAACACCACACTCGACTCAGATATATTATATGTAGTCGTTAATAGTGATGGAACATACGATTGAATTAATTATCTCATACGTAACTTATGTAATTTTTACTCTGCTGGTTTTGACCGAATAAAGAACATTCGAGTCCTATGTGCAAGGGTCTCATTATCCCACAGTCGCTCATTGGGCTGTTAAAGCCGGGACTCTTCTGAACCTTTAGCTTTAACAATTTGGTTCTTACACCCTCTTCTGAGAACACAATGTGGGTCAGCGCTGTATCAAACCATCTTTCCTCATGCGTAGGAAGAATGTTTGCACCCTCTCTCGTGAACACCTGGAAAAGAAGCTGTTCAATGCCCCCACTTTGTCCTGGTCAGAATCTGTATAGCTACCATCTTCAAGCCTCAGGTCCGACTCGCTTTTTGAATTTCGAATTTGCGTAATGAGTTTGACTTCACCTCGCTTTCTATCCGACTCTGGAACTCTTTTTTTCAGGCCTTCTGACTATGCTTGGTTCCTGTATCTGGCATACATCCTCCTGTCCTGCTCGGCGTTTGTCCTAACCCACTGGGTTTGGTCTTGGGAATATATTTATCAATCAAATACTTCACTTTATTGGCTATGATATTTAGCGTCGGGCCAGTGGATAGCCCTCAACTCCTCCCTCATCCTGTCGTAATTACTTTTGTTGTATTTGAACCTTGGCCTGGTTTTATCATGAACCAATTTACAGTTAAATTTGAAGGACAATGTTACGTGGTGACTGGTGCCAACGGGGGCTAGGTGCTCCAGCTTGGCCACCATACCCTCCTCGTTAGCTATGATGAGGTCCAGCGGTTTGGGTGATTGTTCCGCCTCTGTAGTGAGTCGGATCTTTAGCATGTTGGAATATAAAATTATCTCAAAGTTCATACAAACTTATAGCGGGGTTATTTAGGTCATTTGGCGTGATTTCATTTTTCCAGTCCATGTCGCCATGGCGAGGTCCGGACAAACCCTAAGGCATTTTACCGCTACGCAGAGTCAACATTAAAAACACAAGTAGGAGTATCGGATCTGAGACTTGATGATGGTAGGTACGCAAAGTCTGACCAGGACAAAGCCGAGACATTGAACAGTTTCTTTTCCTCGGTGTTCACAAGAGAGGATGCGAACAATCTTCCTGTGTTTGAGGATAGGCTGTACGACACAGCACTGACTCACATTGTGTTCACAGAAGAAATTATAAGAAATAGACTGTCGAAGCTAAAGGTTCATAAAGAGTCCCGGACCGGACTTGGTGCATCCCAGAGTGCTGAGGGAGTTGTGTAACAAGCTTGCCGAGCCCCTGAAGATCCTGTTCAGCAAATGCCTGGATGAACAAAAAGTCCCTAGCGATTGGATAATGGTTTATGTGAGTCCTATCTTCAAGAAGGGAAATCGTCACTCCACGATTAACTATAGACCAGTAAGCCAAACAAGCTTAATGTGTAAAGTACTTGAGAGCATTATAAGAGATTCCATGATGGAACATCTACAACAAAACAACCTCGTAAATTATTGCCAACACGGTTTTATGCCGGGACGCTCCTACTTGACACAATTACTCAGGGTAATGGATATTTGGACCCAAATTATAGATCAAGGTGATAATATCGACAATACTGTACAGTATTTACCTAGATTTTGCCAAGGCTTTTGACAGTGTACCCCATGTACTGTAAGACTGAAAATTAAACTGTAAGGGTACGGGATTCGGGGAAATGTCCTGGCGTGGGTAGAGGACTTTCTACATATATGCATGACCGCAATCAGTGTGTGTGGTGGTTAATGGCACGAAATCATCATCTGTATCCGTAACAAGCGGGGTACCACAGGGCAGTGTATTGGGCCCGCTGCTGTTTGTTTGCTTCATAAATGATATGCTTGAAGCTGTACATTCCTCCTTACAAATGTTTGCTGACGACGCCAAGTTATTTCGGGAAATTAAGAGTCAAGCACACTGTGCAGAGCTGCAGAAGGATCTCTATGAGCTTCAAGAATGGTCGAAGAAATGGCTGCCGAGATTCACGCCCGTATCATTAAACAACATCTTCCCTTGAAGAGGGTCGTCGTGTTTCAACAGTACAGTATAACTCGGCAAACTGTGGTAGCTGTCTCCGTCAAAGATGAAAAACTTGAGTATCATGGTCGCCATGAGAGCAGAAGGTCGAGCATGAGCATCTGGTGTGTGGATAACACTCACCTTGTGCAGCAAATATTGTCACGACCTCACCATAATGGGTTTGGCTCGACCCACCATTTTCAGTGTTCTCCGCCTCTCGTCCCCAAAAGACACACCTGGGGCGGATCCAGAGGGGTGTCATGGAGGTCCGGACCCCCTCCTTTCCATCGGAAAATTTCAATACTTTTTCTTTAATGCAGTATTGTAATTGAGCGTTTTTGTATGGTAAAATGTAATTACAATTGAATTCAGAATATTTCCTAATATCAACTGCACATGGCATTAAAATGGCCTCAAAATGCCCATGATATTGTTCAGATTAAAAAAAAAACATTTATGGGGGCTTATAGTGCCTCCCCCCCCCCCCTCCATCCACAATTTCTTAGACCCTTCCCTTTTGATATTCCTGGATCCGCTCCTGTACACCCGCTGGTCTTCATCGAACTTGAGAAACACCAAAACACATATTGGTGTGTCTCTTCCTTATTTCCTCGTGTCCTTGGCCAGGATAGTCGCCTCTTGGATTTTTATGTCTCTTATTTTATTTGGTGATGTGGAGAACATTCAGGAGTGACTGCCTCTACGTGGGTGTGTTGGCGGAGTAAGGGTGGTGTGGGGGGGGGCGAGTTGGAATTCTTCACACGTGGTCAGTAGGAAGGATCCAGTAGTTACTCGGGATTATTTCTCGCTTAAGGTGCGTTCACGCCAAGGCCGGAACCAGACATATTCTGACGCTAAATGTCCGGAAACAGACGATCTGCGACGCCACGGTGGTTATAATGATTTTTTTCAGCTTACACGACTCACTGTCTCTGGGAGAGGGGAACTGTCTTTCCTCTAGGATAAAATGTGAAAGAATCGAGTTTGATGTGATTCGAATATAGTGTGAGATATGTCGCATCCATACAGTTGTTACTGTCTGTACTTTGGAGGAACCATAGTAGTGCACCTTCGTCCTACAGCTTCATGTTACAGAGTTGAATTGAATTGAAACAGTTTATTTAGCCAGAAGAACACAGATAACGAGTGGATAATAGTAACAATATTAACATGGCTGAGCCAGTTGAGAGCCTAAGCTCTCCTGTAGGCACCTGATATATACTATACATTTATCTCAAGGAAGTATTATATAACATTAGTAACATCTGGAATAGTACACATAGCATGGTGGTAATAAGAACATCTCAGAATGTTACCACAGTTATCACTTCAATATTTATTTATCTTATTTATTTATTTTTTGTGGTAAGATTTATTGTATGTATCATTAGTAAATATTTTTTCAACTGACTTTGAGCTGGTACTGTGTTAGCGTGTAGCTGTTTCCTTGTATCTTATAAGCGTTGTGTTACCTACATGTTCAGGGGATCTGATTGTTGATCTCTCACTGGACTGTTGTCTGTTTCTGGTGCAAGACTGATTTTTTTTTTTTTTTTTATCTTCAGGATCCCTGGAGTTTGCTTGTTGGGGTTTGGGTTTGATGTGCTGTTTTGTGGTGGTCAGATCACTTTATGTCGTGTAGAGTGGACAATTTTTGGTGTTCAGACGTGTAACAAGACCTAATTCTTTTATAAACTGTCTCATTGTTTACCCAAGCTGTGCCCCAACATGAAAAAATTTACGCCCGTATTATTAAACAACATCTTCCCTTGAAGAGGGTCGTCGTGTTTCAACCCGCGTTTTAAACTAAATGAGTCCTGAGGGACATCACAATACAATACTTAACGGGGTGGTGTGGCGGTAAAATTAACTAATTCCAATATTATAAATGAATTGTATTGGAATTAGTTAATTTTACCGCCACACCACCCCGTTAAGTATTGTATTGCGGTGTCCCCCAGGACTCATTTAGTTTAAAACTCGGGTTGAAACACGACGACCCCTCAGGGGAAGATGTTTAATAATACGGGCGTTACTGTTAAGGTCAGGCTACAGTCTTCTCAATCCTGAGCTCATTACAGTAGGGAAGTACGTTTGCTTTAATTGTTCTCACTTGGTCGACTAATTACTTGATTAGTTCTCTTGCAACACGAACATGAGGGTTATCTTGTTTACTCTGATAAGGGTGATGGTAATTCGGTAACGTGCGTATCATTATGTCCTGAGTTTGAGTCCTGGCTTAAGACGCACGTGGGAAGGGTGTTATCCAGCGTGACACTGCCAAACATTGTAGGTTTCCTCCGGGTACTCCAGTTTCCTCCTGTACTAACACTGGAAAATGAAAAGTAATGATATGAAAAAATAATTACAAATATGTTGTGCTCAGGTCAAGATTTATCGAGTTGTTTGCAATTGGTTAGTTTACAGGTGAATCTTTTGAAATGAAATTTACCGGAATATTACTTCACCACACCTTTACTGTAGCTGGGCAGTGGTGCAGAGAGAGCAGCGCTTCTTAGAATAAGTGAAGTATCTCCTACACATTTTGCGGTGATTTTGTCAAGGAATGAAGTGAAGCCATTCACTAAGACGTTGCATCAAGAGTCATTCTTAGGGATTCCTTTTCTGACTATTAATCTGATTGTGGATTGGTTTACCATCTTGGATATTGTCAGACCTTCAGTGATTGTGTCGCGTCTCCCCGGAGAAGGTTCTGGGGAGATGGTTGTATTCCACTTAATTATGTATACAATTACCAAGTGGACAAAGACATCTATACCTGTACTGTGTACCCAGATCTGCTGAGTCTCCTTGGTCTCGATACATGGATTGATTTTATTTTCGTTTCCTATCCACTTAACGACGTGAGAATTAACTGCTGTTGTTACGAAAGTTTTCTAGATGGATAGCTCCTCTCACGGGGATTTTGGTTATATAAAGTTTATCTCGACTTTATTCAGATTCTTTATCAAGCTTTGACTCAGACGGTTCTGATATCATGTTAAGGTCTTCACTTCTATGACTTCATGTTAAGGTTATCAGATAATTCTCCAGTAGTGTCGTGAGGAGTTTTTGGCGTTGATAAAGGCCCAGGTTTTCTGACAACTGGGCGTGACAAAGATATTGTTACCAGTCAA